TCTGTCATTCATGCCAGGCAATTGGCTAGTATAAATAATAAAAGTCTTTTCCATCTATAGATACCAAAGCTTTTTACAGAAAGGAGCAATACCATTATCCCCATTTTACAGGTGGCAAAACAGAGGCAAGAGAGCCTACCTTAGGTCAATCAGCTGACCTGATCTGAAACCAGAACTGAGGCCTCATGAATTCCAGCTTGGCACTTGATAGAGTGAGACATACTGGCTATGTTAATAGAGAGGTAGCTTACCCCCAGCTGACGGCCACAGCACCTGAAGAAAGAAGTTCAGCTGGTGTCATGGCTGCAAAGTAACTCACATTTACCAGCAAATACAGGCATGTTACCAAAGGAATGGCAATCATCACAGCTCTGGGAAGGGTCACCTAGGAAAAGGGGAAAGAAGGGTTAAGGATAAGAGCATCACCTCCATAAAGTATATTTACAGCTCTCCCACCGCTGTCCAGCTCTGTCTGGAGGATTGACTCAGACCCAAATCCTCAGGGACCTTTTGGTACCATACTCCTATTGATTTCAGTGGGAATCGTGCCCCTAAGTACTTCTGAGGATCTGAGCCTCTTTGAGCCCTTTGTGCATGTGTGCTTTGCCTGTGTGTAGGCCAGGCCTTGAAGGCATAAATTCAGCATAACTGTAGTTGTCCACTATTTTACTGGTCTTTTCTTGCTCAGGCTGGGGGTGATGGAAGATCTGTGATGGGAGGATATCTGGAAAATCACTTTCCCTGACCACATTCCCATGGGCTGGGCAGTTTGAGCAAGACAGGGGCCTTCAACTCAGCCTATTCAGAATGTAACAGCTGCAAAGGCTTGCCTGGCTGCAAGCTGAGTGGGTGAGCTGTGCCTAAGAACTTTGCAAGAAAAGCAGCAAAAGTTTGCAGATGGTACAATAGCTTTTCCAAACTAAGGCTATGCTGTGCACAATGCACACTTTTTACTGGAGCATTTGAATTGTGACCAGAGCCCCCATTGCAAAATTCTGGCTCTGATTGGCTATTGTGGAGCATAAAAAGCTGGGGGGGGAAGCTGGAGAAGAATAGTACCATTTGGAAGGGAGGGTTAGAGACTCAGCCCCTCCCCTCCAGGCAGAGGGAACAGAGATGAGGCTTGCTGAGAAGCAGACATCAGGATGGAGAGCCTGAGTCATCCCAGGATAAGCTGACTCCTCACCTGGGGCAGAGCTGTGGAATCAGGGACACGGGTAGCCAGGGAAAGAGTGGGGAGGGGCTGGCAAACTAACTGGGAGCTGGGAGAAGCTGCTTGGTCAAGGACCTACAGAGGGAAGGCCTCTATCTGGGCTGGAAAGGCTTGTACTGCAGGAACAGACCTGCAGAGGGAATCTCCTGCCTGCATGTGGAGGTGCTGGAGGAGAGAGAGAACCCAGAGAGGGAGTGGACTGTGAGAATCCCAAATCTGCATGGGTATGTGAGGGGGCACTTAACCCCTAGTGTTTGCAGGAGGTGTATGTTGTTTAGAAGGAAACTAAAGAAAAGAAGCCTAATACCTGCCATGTCTGATCAGAGACTTGTTTTTGCTGAGTTACCAAGAAAGAGCAAAGAGTCCACCTTCCCTGGAACAGCAGAAGCCTCTGCCATCTAGTGGTGAATCCTAATTAATGCTGCGTTGCCATTTATTATTATGGGAAGGGGATTGTGACCAAAGGGAAATCAACCTGGGTTATGGGGAGGAAATTGTTTTAAAGGGTTATAATCGGATGAATGTAATCCACTGAGGTTGTCTGATGCAAGTGGGACCACCCAGTGCCGTGGAACTCTTCACCTAATGTTGCAGCTGTAAATGTTACTCAAATTGTTGGCTGTATTATTAACTATTGATGTGTTTATACACACACTCTTGATTAATCATTTCCTTTTTTCTGTGTATAATTGGTTTCTTTATTATGTACAATGTGTTTATTGGGTTTGGAGTAAATTCTTGGGTGGTGAGGGTGAGGCGCACACCCTTCCACAGGATGCCTCCAGTCAGCAGACCTGCCTGAATGGGTTTCCAGGGCTGCTGGCACCCGGAGGATCCGCAGTCCAGCACATCACCCAGCCTAGTGTGCAGGTACAGGTTACAAGAATAAACCATTTTCTTCCCCACTCTGTGCTTACAATTCAAGTGTGAGTGCTAGGAGATGGCAAGGAAGAGACGGCAGTGGAGTTGAGGGAACAGAGGAAAGTGATGGTTGGGGCAGCTCTATTTGCACTGTGTTAGTACCTACCCCACAACGTCTCTACTGCTATAGTCATTCTTATCCATCTATGGCCTCAGAACTAGGCTGTCTGAGCACTGACACATCTAAGAATAGCAGCCTCTCTCCTTTTTGTCCTAGAGGTGTTTTTAATTGTTTAGAGTTTTCATTTAAACAACGTTAGTAGGTAAGAAAGGGACTTGCAGCCTGGAAACAGCTGCAAGGAACCCATTTTATGAGTCATCCCCTTGCTGGAGAGCCAGGTCACAGTACAGGGAGCTGGGTCACATCAGGTAAGGGCCCGAAGAGGGACGGCTGAGGTTTTGTCGGTACTTCCAAGCTTTGCTAGCATAGCTTCGTTGGCAGGGAAAAGACCATTTCCCTCAGCTAACAGCAAAACCTCTAGTCCAGATTTGGTGAAAGCCGCATTCTGGAAGCAACTATGAGAAAGACAGCTGCTGGCTGGGCTTTGGTCACTGGAGCTGGTGGTGTGGTTGTTTCAGAAAAGCCCCTTTTCTACTAATGGGCCCTGCTTTGTAAAAAAATGTGTTCAAAAGACTTTGAGGTTCTAGTGTCCGGGATTATTATTACCCCTTGCCTGATTCTTAATTGTTATTGCTGGAACATCTCCTGGACTTTCCACTGAATTTGATGAAATATCAGTCTGTGGCATAGCACATTCAACAAGGCAAAAGATTCAATCACATTCAAGTAAATATTTAGAGAGCATGGGGGAGATTTGCTCAAGAAAGGGATTTTCTGTTGCTAATGTCTTGGCTATCTACAGAGTGCTTATGAGCAACCCTTATCTTCTCAGAGCTGAAAGATTAAGAAAGTTAAGGATTGACTAAATGATTATCACAACTTAGCTGGAATACAAAATGTGTCCTAAGAAAGTGGCAATTAGCAGGTCTTGTTTCTCCTGACTGAATGATGTGCTGCATTTCCTTAAGAGTATCACCCTCCATCCTACAGCCTGATGCAGCTGAGTAGTCATGATATTTGGGAAAGGCTGCTATTCAGTGTGACTGATACCTATATTTCAGTCAAATGTTCTGTTAGACATTTGTACGAAGCATGCTCTGCATTTTCACGGCTCTGGGCCTCTGAGGTTTGGTCAGTATTATCATCCTAAGTTAGGAAGGGCAAGCATGAGGCACAGACAGGTTCAATAACTTACCCCAGATCACAAAGCAAACTAAGACTAGTCCTCTTACTCCAGCCACTAGAATTACTGCCCCTCTCATGACCTATTGTATATAAAATTATGTGAATTATTTGAAAAGTTAAATAAAGAAGTTGCATTGAAAACCAGCATTGTTCACTTACTTCAGGCTTCTTAAGCTCCTCAGTCACATAATTTAGGTTGTTCCATCCATCGTAAGACCAGAGTCCCTGATAAAATGCCACTCCAACCGGCCCAATACCTGCTGTTGTGTTTTGAAAGGCATTCTGGAAACTTTGAGTTTGTCCATTGATGAGCAACACTATTCCACCCACTGCAATGACCAGTAAAACCAGGAGTTTGGCAGCTGTAAATACATTCATAACAGAGGTAGCCAACTTCACATTGAGACAGTTGATAATGGTCAACAGCAGGATACAGGTAGCTGCAGTACATTTGACCAGTACCTGAGGTGGAGAGCATCCTGGATAAAATGGAGCAACAGCATATTCAGCAAAGCTTAGAGAGACACCTGCCACACTGGCAGGCCTCACCATAATGACAGAGGTGTACGCACAAAGGAAAGCAGGAAAAGAACCAAAATTCCTCAAAATGTAAATGTATTCTCCTCCGGACTCTTTAATTATGGTCCCAAGCTCAGCATAAGACAGGGCTGCAAACATCACCAGCAGACCACAAGCAGCCCAGATGATGAGACTGCTGGCAGGGCTACCCATATAGTACAGCACCCACTCTGGAGACATAAAGATCCCAGAGCCAATCATGGTGCCTGCAATCAATGACACTGCACTAATCAGTCCAACCTCACGCTTCAACCTTAAAGTCTCCATCCCTTTGTTTCGATCTGCAGGCAAACCAGATGAGCCAGCTGTCCTCCTTTCAGTCATGCTGGTGCTGGTAGTGGAGGTGTTTGCAGAGAAAGAGACTGTGAGGCTCTGGCTTCTTTTATTAAGTTAATAATTATATATTATATGATTGTAATTAACTTATATTCATAAGTCACTTGAGGTGTCATTGTTCACTAGCTTATAGATTGGAAAATACTATCTTTTTTTTGTTCCGGTCTTTATTTTTTTATTACTAGCTTATCTTATTAAAGCAGAAAACCGGGTTGGCCTGTTTCATCAGGGCTTAGATCCAGCCAGGTGCTGATCACCTTCTACTCCCATTACAAATAAGAGGTATTGGTAGCATTTCACCTTTTACAGGAGTCACTAAGCACTTTGCAGGATTGTGCGCCAGATTACCTAACAGCAGTGCATTTTATGCTTCAAGTGGAATTGGGGACAAACTTCAGATAAGCAAACTTCCCACAAAAAAATTAATCTGTACTTTATTCTCGAGGCCGATTAAAATTCAATATTCCAGCAGTTTACAGAACTGGGACCTCAGACCCTGAGCCTTGCTGGATCTGCTGACTTGGTGTTTCCTATCATCCCAGGGAGATGTTTAGTAAGCTTTTCTCTCATGTTATCATGGTTTTGCTTAGACAAGCACTGGGTTCAGTGTCTCAATACAGGAGTGAGGGAAATGGGGGAAGCTTCCATCAGAGGCTGCACGCATCATGGGTAAATTCAACATGATATACTCCAGCTCTCCCTGAGTTTACAAGGCAGAGGAGGGAGCATGTGCAAGGGTAGCCATCATTTTCCATAAGGATGAAGCTCTTGTAAAAGGTACGGCAACACCCGCTGCCTCTGCTCACCTGGACTTCCTGGGGCCATTCTGCCTGCCTCCAGGCACTGCTACATTCCCTTGAAAAAACAACTCCTGCAACACCTTCTTGGGTCTAATAGGAATTTTGCCTGAGGAAGGACTAGTGGGTTTCTCATACAACACATTCGTTATGTAATCTTATTCGTTTCAACACGTGGTATATAAAAAAGCACTGATCCAGGGCTCTTGAGGTGTTCAATACATGGAACAAATGAAAATAAATCCAGCAGCTTCCTTACCCTACAAGCCAGGGTAGCTCTTCTTTTATGCCATCATGCCATTGTGGCTGTAGGGCTCCAGTCCCACCCCTCTAGGACTGTGGATCCCTGGCCCTCTCTCTACTCTCTGTAGGCTAACCCTCTAAAATCTCTGCCCCTTTTGGGCTGTGGGCTCCCTCTGGGGCTATACTGTAGCTTGTACCCTGTCCCAGCAGGTTCAAGCTTCCTTGTGCCTTCCTAGCACTAATGGGAACCTCCATCTCTGCTTATGAAAACCCTTAGTATAGTTTAATCCAGTCCATCAGATTAAATTATACTAAAAGGGTAAACCATTTGGCTGTAACTAAAACTAGAGGCACTCTAGCTCCACACCAACCTTTAGCAATTCTGCAAGCTCTCAATTCCCTACTTTTAGTCTGCAGAGCAGTGAGGTCCCCAGGTAGCCTCTCAGCCACAATCAGCACAGAGTATTTCTTTCCCTAGCAGCCTGCAGAGTCCAACTGCCTCCTGGCCTCAAACCCTGAGTTTATCTGATGCTTAAGCCCAGCCCCTCTGGATCATGTGACTCCCCCTTTCCCCACCCCACCCCATAGCTTTCACAGCTGGTTCTGCTTAGGTTTGCTAGTTAGCCCCCAAGGCAAACTACAGCTGCTGGATTGGTGCTGCCTTAGTCGGGGGCACATGCCCCCCCATGTGGCAAGTCCTACTGACTGGTGGGTGTCCCCCATAGCCAATTCCACCAACTTGGGGGATCCCCCACGACTGATCCCACAATGGTCAATTGCTGCAGGCACTTTCGAGAGTGGCCGGGACCCGCTGCAGTGATTAGTCAGTGTTTGCAGGGTGGGCATCAGCACTCCTGCCTGCCCCCTCTGTCCATTACCTGAGTGGTGAGCGTGGCCCAACAGGGAATGTACTGGCGCTCTCAGGGGGTGCACATGCACCCCCTATTTGTCACCACTGTGCTAGAGTGTCTGTAGCAGTGCCTCCCTTGCCCCAGTAAGTATCTATGCTTAATATGCCCCTTCCTTGCTCCCTCCCTTGCTCTGCAATAAGCACTCTGGTGCTCAGGCTAGCTCTGTCCTATTGTCCTACTGCAGAGCAGCTGGCTCCACAATAGGCACTCAGGAGTCATCCAGATGAGCAAGCATGTGCATTTCCCCAGGGACAAATATGTGCCACTGCTACTTATCCCCAGGGAACACCCCTACATGTGCACTCTGGTGTGCAGCAAGTTGCCTTAGGTGGGATAGGGGAGGCTGGGGCCAGCAACTAGGCTGGCCCCAGCAGCCTTACCTGGGTTCCTAGGGGCCTCCTGGGGTCCCCGTGGTGCCAACCCAGCAGCAGGGACCCTGGCCAGCAGCTGAAGTTTGGCTCTGGCCAGCCAGGCTCCAGTTTTAGGCGCTGTACACTACTACCATGTGCACTACCTTGCTTTTTTCTAGCACGGGTGTTGTTGACACCAGAATCTCTTGGTGTCAACTCCCCTCCCCGCCTATGCTGCAAATTA